TTCCTCTATATTTACAAGTGAGTCCCTGTTCGCTGTGTTGTTGTCCTGCTGTCTGCTTGCTCTGGACATTCAGATTCTGCTTGGTTCTGTTTCTCTGTGTCTTGATCGCTCTCTGCCTAAATTATGCCAGTTGGCGCTCTGACTAGCTCCCAGATATACTCTTATCTCGGGCATATCTCTCTTACCCTAACATTGAAGTTATGGGCACCTCGGTCTACCGGGCACCATGTGGGAGAGTTACTAGTAGGCTGTCAGCTTTTTTTGTAAATACCCCGAAGTCCCAATCTATCCTGGAAAAAATCAATGACATCTGCGGTTAGCGAACGAAGTCAAGAAATTGAAGTTGATGTGGTTTGGCCATGTTACGAGACATGACGTTTTCTCCAAGCCCTTCCTGCAAGGATCAACTCCTGGATCTCGACCGAGAGGAAGGCCCACAACATCATGGATTTCTAACATTAGAAGTTGGACGGGTCTTCCCTTTGCATGCTCTCTCTCATGCAGCGCACGATAGAGTTGGATTCAGAGACATCATTCGCAATTCTCTCGCTGATTAATGCCTCTATGATCACCTTGTGATTATGAGTTATACATACATACATACATACATACATACATACATACATACATACATACATACATACATGCATACATACATACATACATACATACATACTCAATCTGCGGACAGAACTGTTTCGTCCTTTGTGGACTCGTCAACGCAGCACAGAGAAATGAGGCCGAACCTGATAGCAATGGAAATAAAAATTTCCAATCAGGCCCGAACGTACCTTGCCAGAGTGCTCAAACTGACAAGTCAGTGAGGTCTGCATAACGCAAACAGCAAAGGCACTACCCCACGCAAGAGTGCTCAACTGCTACAAGAGCAGGAGCGAAATACTCAATCTGCGGACAGAACTGTTTCGTCCTTTGTGGACATACATACATACATACATACCGTGAAGTACCGTTGATCCACCCCTCTCTAATTTCTGCTGCTGTGAAGTGACTTCGGCATATACAGTGAAATACGGTGTTGAACCAACGCTTACACTGCCGTACACGATACGTGCCAGTGCAGGATGAAGCATGTGCACAATCCAGCATGCCAAGTCTGATCTTCTGCTTTGTTGTACATCAACTTGACCGACTTAATGTTATTCCCGCCCCCTGCCGAAAAACTAGCGGGGAAGCGACATAGGGTGGGGGGGGGGGGGGTAGGGGCAGATCAACGGTAGTGACATCACGTGCCAGATCTCTGGCACTTCCTCATCACAATGTACACGACAAACGTGTCCATGTCCTGACCGCCCGGATAAGAAAGATATGAGTGTAAGGTCTGATCGGGACCCTGTTCTGCTGAATACAATACGCTACTTTTGCCGAAAGAGTGACCAAGCATTCGGGCAAATTTCCGATTTGCATGTGAAATGGACACCTACCCCCATGTAGCACACTCACACACCCAAACCCACACATTCATGCATTATTTTGCTTCTGGCTTGCCGCTCTGACCACTCTTTTGATTTTTCCTAATGTTGTAATATCTGCCTGCATGTGCGTGTGTATGCGCTTGTGTCCTTTCCCCCAGCTTGGTGGTGGCACTAGTCACAATGGGAGATTCATGAAAGGGAGCTGTGTGGCGACGCTCTGAGAGTTCCGTTCTGAGTGGAATTTGAAGGTGTGACAACTGTACATGCATCCAGTATGATGTGTTGACTGGGATTAAGTCCTGCAGTCGGGCATTTTCGCTTTCTTACATTTCGTGCTGGTGTAGTTCCGACTACCTCGCAATCAGCACGTGGATCTTGCCCGTAAGCAGAGCGTATGCTCGGCTGGCTGTTGGAGTATTTTCTTCATCTCGTTTCTCTCTCTCTCTCTCTCTCTCTCTCTCTCTCTCTCTCTCGCCCTCTTGCTCTATCTCTCTGTTCGAACGACGTGCCTGGTTTCAGGATTCTCTGCCTTGGATTCAAGATATGTTTCAACTTTATCGGCCTGAATATGTTTTCGTTTGTGTATGTATGTGTTGTTAGCTATGGTACCGGCACGCATGACCTTGTTACGGCTTTTCGCTATGTTTCTGTGCGTGCCATGCATAGTGCCGCTGTTGACCTGCTGCAAGTCTTCAGCGATTTGATCATATTGAAATTGCTGTCTATAATCTCGCCATTGCGCTGCCTCAGATGATGTATGCTGAGAATGTACCCTTAGTCTAGTGCTATTTTACTGAAAATCCCTGTCCGGTGTATTTGGCAGAGTGAGGTGCGTGCGTGCGTGTGTACGTGTGTGTGTGTGTGTGTGTGTGTGTGTGTGTGTGTGTGTGTGTGTGTGTGTGTGTGTGTGTGTGTGCTGATCTGCATGCATTGCCCGAAGCGTTTCCGACGACAGCAAGATTTGACGAGGCACCAGAAGTCCTGCCAATGACGGTGCCCTCCAAACTCTGGCCCCCTCCGGGGGTGACATTGCCCAATGGGCAGTCATGCTATAGTAGTACATGTAGTAGTAGTAGTGTGTGTGTGTGTGTGTGTGTGTGTGTGTGTCCGCCACGGCAGCATGTCGCTGTGGACGCGGGGAAAACCTGCTGCCGGCCCGGCGACCTCAAGCGTCACGAACCTTTCTGCCGGTTGCGGCCGAATTTGTCCTTTTGCTATCATTGCCTTTGGCAATGGGCAAGTCCAAGGTCCACGGTGTGTGTGGTGTGTGTGAGTGTGTGTGTGTGTGTGTGTGTGGTGTGTTGTGTGTGTGTGTGTGTGTGTGTGTGTGTGTGTGTGTGTGTGTGTGTGTGTGTGTGTTTGTGTGTGTACTACTGTGCATGTATCAGGCTGTGGCAAGAGCAAACAAACTCAAGAGCCGCCGAGCGTGCCACCGGGTAACCCCCCCCCCCCTTCAGCACTTCCCAGCGCGGGTTTCCCGGGAGAGCTATCGAGTGCAGCATGGTGCACAGCGCAGAAGATCAGACTTGGCATGATGGGATTGTGCACATATTCACCCACATGAGCATACTTACCCTGGCACGTATTATGTGCAGCAGTGTATGCATCAGCTCGACGCCACATTTTTGACATACACCCTGAAGTCGCGTCGCAGGTAGAAATTAAAGGGGGGGGGGGGGGGCGTTTGTTTTCAATGCATGATAGGAGTGATTCAACTAACCCAAATTCCTTATCGACTAGATTCAATGCTATCGACTGGTATTGCGATCATGTATGAAAACAGACATTATTCACTACCGTACTGGCAATATATGTTGCCGCGTAACGCGTAACGCAGGGGGTGCGGCGTAACACGCGACCAGGCTAGTGCGACAAATTTTCGTTGAGTTCGTAACGCGCGTCCGGCGGGGTGCGGCGATCTTTTCATTGCAGTTTGCACTGCACAAGAAAAAATGATGCGGCAAAAGCAAAAAAATGATGCGGCAATAGCAAAAAAGTGATGCGGCAATAGCAAAAAAAGGACTGCGGCAATATAGAAACCTGTGTAACGGCTCCTGTGCGACTTTGCATGTAACGCCCTGCGTGCGGCAAACATGTGCCAATGTATTAACGCTTCATGGCCTCACTGCGGCAACATATATTGCCAGTACGGTATATTCAATGTTCACCTATCCCATGCATAAGAAACATACGTCACAGAGGAACACATTGTGTACGGTTCAACCAAGATTGAGTATAACCCCCCAGGTTATACTCTTGGTTCAACGTTCAATGGTTCTATGTCGTACCAACGTAACTAAGGTGTTTGGCTTTTTTTAAAGACTAGTTTGCATCGATCTTGTTTTGGTTTTCACGCCAACAAGGTACTTTCAGCTTCCAAGAGCTTCTGGACGAGGAAAGATATCGAGAATTCTAGCTCTAGTGAAACCGATGACGACGAGGAAATCTCTGGCGGAAGAGATTCTAGATTTGTTCAGAGACTGCCATAGCACACAGAATTCGAAGTAACACAATCATGTACATCCTTGGAAATCTTCCGTGCCAAATCGAGACGAGGACTCGTCGCACTGTCATTGTAACTGTTGTATAGGAAGCATCAACCATGTCAACTATTAGTAGTATTACTTTAGTTTAGAGAAAGACATGTCCATGTGGACCTACACATGTACCTTGTACCATGACGTAGATCTACACTTGGACGACAGCTATTTTTGTAGTCGACACTGACGACAGGAAAAGTTGAAAAAAGCGGCGTCGTCATCTTTGTTGGCCATTTTCGGTCTGGAGTCGTGCACATGTGTGGTCCGGAGTAGATAAAAAGCCGGTTTTTTAGTACTCCCTGGGCCTGGTGGTCATCATTTCCACGCCCAGCGCTGCATATCGCAGACTGCACAACTACTTTCCGTGTGCACTTTCACATCGGCCACCTTGCGAAAAAGCTCAATTGAAAAAGTGCAGTGAACATTGCTTGTTCAAGTAGTTGTTGCCCCTTGATTCTCAACCTTTCTCGGTCTCTGTATTTTCGTTTAGCAACCTTTCCGCTTGACACGGTTGAGAGTTGTAGTGGTTGTCCTCTAGTAGCAGATTACTGCATATGCGGCAGCGGTAATGGTGAACGTGGATATAAAAACCACACCTATCGAGGATAGCTTCGACCTTGGCGATGAGCTGGGAAGGTAAGACATTTACCTTCAAGTTTTAGTTGAGGACAACATTTCTGAAAGTGATTTTGGGGTGAATTTCGCCACTAGGTAGTTCTGGTCGTGGGGGAATGTGGCGCTTGTAGATCTGTTCCGCTTGTTGCTTCCATGCGTAGTGCATAGTCTTGTCAAATGCAATCGGCTTGGCGATCCCATCCATTGTATGCAGTCAGTTCTCGACCTCACCTCATTCCAATCAGTTTTGACACATCGTGGTTACCGTATGCATTTGTGTGCGTACATGCACGAGGAAATATCCGTGAGGAAAATATCTGTGATCCTTCCAAGACTTCTGCTCTCAAAGCATTGTGGTCCTGCGACTGTTCTCAATTGTTGTCTGTTCGAACTTGTAAACGTGTGCCTCGTGTGAATAGTTTTGTGGATGATTGCTGCGGAGGTATTTCTTCGGCAGCTCGTTTGCTTCTTGCGCAAGGTGTTCTTGCCTGCATTTTGAGAAGGTTTTCGGCCTTGGACTTTCTGCCCTCCAGAGCAGTGCTGTTAGGGTCGTTGTGTTTGCTTTCACTCCCCTGCCTTTGTCGGTGCACGTAGATCTACTGGGTGTTGCAGAACTGCACGGAGCGTCACAAAGGGTAGCCCGTCCGTAGCCTAGGCTAGGGATTGAATCCGGATTGCAAGCACACTTGTACACAACGAACCAAACTGCAACGTCAGCTGGCTGTTTCGGGACCCCGCGATACAATTCTCTTTTTTCGAAAGGAAACAGCAGCGAAAACTCTGTCGGCCGTACATAGATGTGTACGGGGGGTTGTGGTGTGGCCATGTGGATAGTGAGTTGTAATTATTGTACAACCCGAGCGAAGAAAACGTCTTGTCTGCTTGGTCAATCGCATAGCGCATGCGTACAAGTACATTGGTTCGTCAACCCGAGGCTTTTTAAAAAAAAACTGGAGATGTTTTGTGTGAATAAGTAACGAAGGATCGTTCCTAATCTTGAAAGGAAATCGCAGACATCGTTTCCACTAGAGCTGAGGTACTGTGTTGTTTGGAGAACTTCAGCTTGAGTGGGTAGAGGCCCGCATGGCCACAGCATTTAACTCTGGACGAGCGAGCAGGTCCATGAAAACAGTTGAATTTGTGATTGAGCTCGATGCCAATAGTACATACATAACTCCCCAAGACTAGAGCGTGCAACTCCACTTTGGTTGCTGTCCCGTCAGAATTTGGTTGACCTCATTATTTTTTTATGATGCAACGTGCAGTGGACTCGTATCATCATACGTAGCCTGAACCTGCTTTGGACGAATCCCTATTATTTTGGTGCTGTACAAATTACACACACTTCCCCTGTACAAATTAGTGCAAGGAAACACGTGCGATTCGTTGAGTTGACACCCAGTACACACGTAAATCACTTGTGCGAGGAGCATCGCGTCAATAACGTCAACTTGAAATTGGGTGAGGACAACAGGGTATGCAAGAGTTGCACACTCTCGGAGTTTACGTACTCTAAGGGGCCTATTATATGTGCAACTCCAGCCCGGGCTGGAGCGAGTGGGCCAGCCCGCCAAGGGTGTTAACATGTGCACGGCTGGGCTGGTCGCCAGCCCGCAGTGAGTTTATATGCGCTGAGCACACGCCATCCCGTTGTGAGTATGCAGCGAACACACTACGACTGTAGTGTGCTGCCCCGGGCTGAAACGCAGGGCTGTAAGTCCCGTGTCGCATCGCAAAACGTGGCGTTAGCATGAGTGTGCGCCTGTTGCAGTTCCTCGGCATTATATGTAGTCTGTATTGTATATTCAGTTACCGAGAGTAAAGGCGGTGTATGTGTCAGACAAATCAGAGTGGAAGGGGTTCCAGCGGAAACATTTCCAATCACCAGGAGGGAACGCAGATGTCGTCCACATTTTGCGATACGCACGCATGAACACGCCGACCCGTCATGGGCCTTTGCCGCGCGTATGCAGTGCGGACTTTCACGAGGCTCTCGTCATCTGACTCCCTGTCATACACCCGTATCCATTGGCGGGCTCTGGGGCATGTGCACACATTCTGATTGGTAGAAATATTATCAACAGCTCACGGCTGGTTCCAAAGTCTATCCTGCTGAATGGGATGTATGCATCCATTTCCCGCCGTTAGGTTTTACAGGGCAAGTCCACTACAGCCGTACACACTCTGATACCAGCTCTGCATAAAAGGTCATGAACTCTGTACGGTCATACTCATAAATGTACTAGAATGGGTTGTACCAAGAGTACATACCCCCCCCCCCCCCCCCCCCCAGAGTGTGCAACTCCCACATACCCTGCTGTCCCGACAGAATTTCAAGTTGACTTCATTATTTCACATCACGTGACATGGTTCAAAAGGTTATGCTGGCAAACAGTGCAAAGTGATCAGAAGAGAGTTGTACCCCAAGCTGGGCTGCGTACAACCCAGTATCTATCATGCACAGAGTGCAAATAATGTGTACGGGTTCATCACGTGATGTGAAGTTCTGCCGTCGCAGACCCCATAGCTGGAGTTGCACACTCTTGGGGTTATGTACTCTTGATAGAATGGAAGAGAAAAACAACACAACATCAAGAGAACATAGGGGACTACAAAGGGCGTGTAGGTGCTATTGAGCTGTGCCG